CAATGCCTGGCAAATCTGGCATTGGATCAGGCAGATTTCCATTGTCAGAAGCACAGAAAAAGAATGTTTAAGGATAGGAGGTTCCCTTTACCAGGTGGAACTGAGCCAGGCTTCTCAGCTCTACGCACAATTTTAGCTTGCTGCAAAATTACCACTGCTCACCCTCCTTCTTCCAGCAAGTAATGGGATGGCAGAGGCTGGCAGTATGGATTCCAGGTGAAAACTAAGCAGAAGTAATATGCCAGGGCTTTAATCATATCTGTATGAGATGTGATTTTTCCTCCTTGCCAGACGTACCTTTTTTGTACACAGACATTAATGCTCGTGGAACAATATTAGATCAGCCTTAATTTTCAGGCTGGATCCCTGCCTGTTTCTCCGGCTGAGCAGCCCAAGGTTTCCTCCTGCTGCTGTGGCCAGCTCTCGGCAGGATTTGCACATTCATTGCTACGTGCAGCCGGGGTGAAGCGCACGCAGGGTCTCTAATGCACTGCAGTGGAGCCGAGTCGCTTCCGATGCGGCTGGCTCAGCCTCCTCTCTGCCATCCCTGGCTGGTTCATTAGCTTCAAACTGTTCAAAGGGATGTAAATTAAATTATATTTAGGTCAGAAACATATTTTAAGCAAAAATACCTATTATATTTAAAGTATGTTGTTCTGAGACTTTCTGTCTGCTGCTTCCAGGATGGTTGCACAAATACTGCCCTTAATATGTTTTTTAATGGTACAGCAGGCGCTTCCAAAATCCGATTTTTGTTTAAATATAAATTAGGTTCATTCTCTCTCTCAATCTAATTAATGCTGGTAAATAAGAAAGCACCTTCTGGCAGCTCATTTAGGTATCCCAAACAGGCAAAAGACCAGATGTCCCTGGGTAACTTTTAAAGAGGGAGAACATAGCTCTGCCACAGAGAGTGAGGGGGTTGTAGTCCTGGACAGCCCGGCGCTGCCGGTGCTCTCCTAGGAGGGAGCAGGCAGGCAGACAGGCAGCTCTCCAGGAGCACCAGCAGTCAGACGTTGCTCCCCACACTTTGGGCTGCCGCTCCTTTTAGCAGCAGCTTCTCCATGACTCTCTGTGCAATCACATCTTAAACAGCTTCAAGCATCTGGCTACACCTCCTATCAAGGCTGTATGAGCGATGGTCTCCCTGGACTTTATAAATACTGATCGTTATTCTGGAAGCAGCTCAGCAGACAGAAGCTACTCTTCAGCCCCAGCTCCCGCACTCCTGGAGAAGAGGCTGTGTTGACTCACGTTCAATACAGTTTAAACTGGAGTGTATCGTGATGCTTAGGGATGCTTGGCTGTCCATGCTTAGATCAATACTCCAAAGCCTCCTGCGAACCAGCCAGGGACATGGTTACCTCGCCCAGGGCTTCCAACGGCATACAGCAATACCAGTCCTGGAGCAGCCCAGAGCGTTTTTTTGCAGCACTGCGTGACACCCCCCTCCTCCGAGGGACCAAGCCCACAGTCTCATTTGTTTATGCTGATGCATACTAGGGCAGAGGAACGGGGCTGCTGCTGCTGCCTCTCCTCCGCGGGACCAAGCCCACAGTCTCATTTGTTTATGCTGATGCATACTAGGGCAGAGGAACGGGGCTGCTGCTGCTGCCTCTCCTCCGCGGGACCAAGCCCACAGTCTCATTTGTTTATGCTGATGCATACTAGGGCAGAGGAACGGGGCTGCTGCTGCTGCCTCTCCTCCGCGGGACCAAGCCCACAGTCTCATTTGTTTATGCTGATGCATACTAGGGCAGAGGAACGGGGCTGCTGCTGCTGCCTCTCCTCCGCGGGACCAAGCCCACAGTCTCATTTGTTTATGCTGATGCATACTAGGGCAGAGGAACGGGGCTGCTGCTGCTGCCTCTCCTCCGCGGGACCAAGCCCACAGTCTCATTTGTTTATGCTGATGCATACTAGGGCAGAGGAACGGGGCTGCTGCTGCTGCCTCTCCTCCGCGGGACCAAGCCCACAGTCTCATTTGTTTATGCTGATGCATACTAGGGCAGAGGAACGGGGCTGCTGCTGCTGCCTCTCCTCCGCGGGACCAAGCCCACAGTCTCATTTGTTTATGCTGATGCATACTAGGGCAGAGGAACGGGGCTGCTGCTGCTGCCTCTCCTCCGCGGGACCAAGCCCACAGTCTCATTTGTTTATGCTGATGCATACTAGGGCAGAGGAACGGGGCTGCTGCTGCTGCCTCTCCTCCGCGGGACCAAGCCCACAGTCTCATTTGTTTATGCTGATGCATACTAGGGCAGAGGAACGGGGCTGCTGCTGCTGCCTCTCCTCCGCGGGACCAAGCCCACAGTCTCATTTGTTTATGCTGATGCATACTAGGGCAGAGGAACGGGGCTGCTGCTGCTGCCTCTCCTCCGCGGGACCAAGCCCACAGTCTCATTTGTTTATGCTGATGCATACTAGGGCAGAGGAACGGGGCTGCTGCTGCTGCCTCTCCTCCGCGGGACCAAGCCCACAGTCTCATTTGTTTATGCTGATGCATACTAGGGCAGAGGAACGGGGCTGCTGCTGCTGCCTCTCCTCCGCGGGACCAAGCCCACAGTCTCATTTGTTTATGCTGATGCATACTAGGGCAGAGGAACGGGGCTGCTGCTGCTGCCTCTCCTCCGCGGGACCAAGCCCACAGTCTCATTTGTTTATGCTGATGCATACTAGGGCAGAGGAACGGGGCTGCTGCTGCTGCCTCTCCTCCGCGGGACCAAGCCCACAGTCTCATTTGTTTATGCTGATGCATACTAGGGCAGAGGAACGGGGCTGCTGCTGCTGCCTCTCCTCCGCAACCCACCCAGGAGAACATACCAGACAGCCTGCTGGCTTGCCCCTCTGCTGACAGGCCTCACGTCCTTCCACCTGCTCCTAAACTTTAGATTTCCATGAAGGCTTTGTCATGCATTTGATTCCTGAGACAATTTTCTCTCTCCTCCTACAGGGCGCAGCGGGAGACAGTGACCCAAGCACAGCTGGCTGCTCCCCACCCCAGGCCCTGTCAAACTTCTCCGCAGCATGCCCTGGCGCTGCAGGCATCACCGAGGCAGGGCTCCTTAGATGTCAGGGAGGAGGTGACGCTATTTTTCCGCCCTTCCTCCAGGGGATCTTCAAATCCCTCGAATCTCACAGAGCAACAGCCTGCTTAATCCGAGTCTGTTTGAAGGAGGCAGGAACACAGGAAAAGAGGAGTTGGATGGACAGGGATTCCCTGGTGGAGGAAGCCGATTTTCAGGAGCTTAGTGAAAAAGATTAAAACATTCCTGTTTTCCAGTGTTGATAGTGATCTTCCCTTCCATCAGCAGCTTCACTGATCTGCTCTGGCCTCCTCTCTGCTGGGCCAGGGAGGATGTCACTCTACTGCGGTTTCCCTGACCCACAATGGAAGCAGAGACAGAGGCAGTTCTCGCACGGCTGCAGAGGCACCCAGCACCTCTGACCTTTGGGGGGAGGAGGATGAGCAGCATGAGAAACGCGTTTTTCTTTCCAGCCTGAGCTGCAGTGCCCTGGCCTCAAGCGCACTCATCAGATAAAATGCACTTTAGTCTGAAAGCAGACACAGAAACTGGTTTGAATGGGGTTAGACAGAGCATTCACCCAGGAAGGCTTCAGCGCTCGACCACGCTCACGGTGTTATTGGGTTAGTGTTAATGCAGCACACGTGGTCCAGCAGCCAGAGGAAATGGCTGGGGCCTTCCTCAGAACTGATGGCTTTATCCCTTGCGTTAGCACCGACCTGCTGGCAGTGGCTGGCTTTGCTTGCAGCGGCGGCCATCCTTCCTCTTTTGGCATGTGTGCAGAGCCCTGCTTCAGTTGCAGGAAAAAAAAAAAAAAAAGAGAGAAGAAAAGGCGCTTGGTTGGTGACATGCTCCTGTTCACTCAAGCAGTGCTTGTCATGACAGGGCAGTAGCAGAAAAAAGAGAGAAGAAAAGGCGCTATCGGTTGTACATGCTCCTGTTCACTCAAGCAGTGCTTGTCATGACAGGGCAGTAGCAGCGTATAGTTGTCCTTCGACAACAGCCCTAACCGGCTGGAACAGAGCAGAGCAGCCATCCTTACCGAGAGCCAGAAGCTGTTAGAGAGGGCAGGAAACAATGACGGCATCTGCTCGTGTATCTTGACCTCACCCGTCCTCCCGAGGGCTGCATGTGGTGGATGAGGGACAGAAGGCATGCCCTGCAAACCACCGTGCCGATTCCCTCATGTGCAGGACTTGATGAATGACAAAAATTACAACCACCGTACAAACCACAATTAAATGTGTTTATTAAGTAAAACCACTACTTTATGCTGGATATAGATGCAATATCAGTGCTCTTATAGTAAAACACAGTATTTCTTCACTTAACCTACAGCTTGATTTTGCAAGCTAAAAGCTCAGTTATAAACTACTGGTGAGTTCATGAGCATAAGTATCCGCACTGTATTCAGGATTAGCTCTCAGTTTCTGTCTTCGGCTCCTTGTCTACTTGCTTTTCTCCAGTGCTAACCTTGAATTCAACCAGATTAAATCTAGACAGAATTGGTACAGCGCTTTTTTTCTGTTAGCTGATCACTGAATCTGACTTACCAGCTCTGTGGCTTGATATCTAGAAGCTTGATACCAGATCTTGGAAGTCTGTCTACACAAGAGTACCATTTTAACTAGCAATATGACGTCTGCGAGACCTCCGCCATCAGCCTACGGAAGGAGGAAAGGAATGGAAGTTCTGATCAAAAAGGGCCTCCCACAGCACCAGTGTAATAAAATACCCTTCCTGAGAGTGCAGGAGATTCCACGAGGCATTCAAGGAAGCTCTGGCGAGAAGAAACAATGTGCAGTGGGATTTCAAATAGTACTTCCCTCAAAGGAAGGCCTCAAATTGTTTTTTTTTCTTGAATCGAGTAAATCAAAATAATAAGCAAACAACATTCCCAACTAGGCACATGACAAATTGGAATATGACAACGGGAGAAGTTTCTGTTTATTTATTCCTCTTTAAAATGACTTAAAAGCAAATTTAAAACACTATTTAAAGAAAGAGTGGATTCAAAATATCAGGAAGCTGAAAATAAAACCACAAAGGAGGCATTACATGGTTAGCAGAACACAGAAAGCATAGTTAGTATAAAACAGATTTACAGTCTCAGTGAACAGCAAATTCATGCTGCCCATGTAAATGGAACAGCACGTAATACGGCCCCTACCCTCTGGAACACCAAATTCTTTTATCATTTTGTTTTATTGTAGTACTGGATAGGAAAACACAACAATTTTAAAAACCAACATTTTCAATTGAAAGAGAAAAACATTAAAAATATGATATTGCTCTGTAGGCACCGATGTATGTTTTTCTATGGTAAAAGAGCGTGCCAAAGCAGAATTCAAAATTGCATAATTCCTTTTAAAATGATACAGCCCTGGTGTGACTGCAAATAAAAACTAGCTACGCTATTTCTCTGGCACTGCCTGACTGTAGCCCTGCCCACTACGAACCGTCTGCAACACTGGAGTTTGGACAGGGCTAGGCAGAAGCAACAGGCAGCAATACTGGAAAATGAAGGTATCTCCTTGTAAGTCAGAGCATCTGACAGCTCAGATCCACGAGGGCTTTCGTTACACTGACAAAGAGTGACTATGTGTGCTTGCCAAGGCTTTCACTCTGCGTGTTTCAAGTTACACCTGACTTTGAGGTGCTGAGACCTAGTAAGGAGCAAATGGGAGCAAGAAAAGGTTGCTGCCTACAGGCCTGCTTAGAAATAGCCACTCCGGTGGCCAGTGGCTGCAGGCAGGAGGTCAGCTACAAGCCCTGCCCAAGCTTGCCATCAGCAGACGAGTGCTTCCCTCTCCTCTCCCCTCACTGAGCACGGGCAGCTGTAACATTACTTACACCCTCCTCTGCAGAGCACTCTCATCAGACTACAGAGCCCTCACGTCCTCTGAGGGCAGGGATGTGGACTTCACTAGGATCTGCAACAAAAATCAACCCAAAGCAATCGGGGGGGGGCAGCTGCTGGGGCCTTGAAGAGGGTTAAAGTAGTGCCTGTGCAGGGCACCCTGAAGCAGATCTTTACCTTGCAAGCATCCTCACTTCTGAGACTCGTCCTCCCCTACCTGTTTTGGCACATGCAGCCTTCCTGCTCCCCTCTCTGGTGGGCAAGATGCCTGAGATTAGCAGTCCCGAGCCCCAGTGTCCCTGCGCACAGGGGAGGAAAGATGCACTTCAGTCTTCTGTTTTACTAGGGAGTCTCTGGCTTAAAAAGTCACTTTTTAAAAAATGCCATGGCAGGAAGCAGTTAATCAAACATATCCTCAAACATGCGTCGCCCCATGGCTATGTAAACCTCTTTTTCTTCCGGTGTCATCTGGGCCACCAGCTCAGGGCGCTGGCTCACTTGGCTGTAAGAGTGCGGACGCCCAGCCACTGTGACGGTGGGGTCCTCTGCCACCACCTCAAACTCTTCATCGTCCTCCTCATCCTCCAGCCCGTATGTTGTGGTGGCCGTGGTGGGAGGGCGGGGAGGGGATTCCTCCTCCGACTCGCTTGTCTCGCTCTCGGAGTCACTAGCGTTGGCACCGGAGAGAGGAGCGGCACCTCCAACTGTGACTGTTGAAGCAGAAGGTGTCTTCTTCTCGTGGATAAGCAGGGCACGCATCACCTCCTCGTTATCATCCAGAGCTGCCCGGCCCTCCTCACGCTCCTGGAAGGCATCCAGGTCCCGGCTCCCTGCAAAGAGACACAAGAGAATGATCGTTTCCTCACAGAGATCTGGGTGACGGCCCTGAAGGCTTTCTGGACCCGTATTAATTACTGCCACTGAGCACGCTTGGCCAATTCACATCCTTTCTCTATGTCAGCTCCTCCTCTCCCTTAAAAGTCAAAGAAAGTTATGTTTTTTCTCATAACAGAGGAGCAAGTATTGACATTTCCTAGGAGCTGGGAGGCCTGGAGTCACTGTGGCTCCCAGCTGGGAGCCTCAGCCAGCAGCACATTGCAAGAGAAGGCAACAAACACGTGATGGCAGGCACCTGGAAAAGACCCTCCAGGGACTCAAGTGCCCCTCAGCTGGGCTGATGCACTTCCTTAGTGTGGAGCAGAAAGCAGTCCTTGGGACCTAAATCTGGGCTTCCCAGATACACAGACTATGCACCTAATGATGACACTTGTCTGAGATACAGCAAGTATCTTGGTGCTGTTTCACAGGTGAACAAGCACAGGCTGTTTCCTTCTTGTCCCTTTGTTTCCAGGTTGCATGGCCACAGCCTGAAGGACTTGCGGTGATGACCAAGACCATGGGGTGTTGCCGGCACAGACCATAAACACAGACCCAAAACTAGGCCCTGGCCTGTCGAGCTCCCCATCTATAAGGATTAAGACAGAGAAGCAGATGAGTCCAGGCAGACAGGGAGTATGCAGAAACCACGTGTTATAAAACAAAGTAGCCACGTCTGGTAAGCTCAGAGGTCCACCTACCAGGCAGGAAGGGGAAAAGCTCATTACTGGAACACGGTGGTAGCGAGCAGGATCTATCTCGCAAAGCACATGCAGCTTACAGCCTGCAGCCAAGCCGCACAGCACAGCGTGGAAGGCTGCGTTAAAACAGCTCCTGCTCTCCAAGCTGAAACGCAGCCCAGCCAGTCTCTCTGGCTCCCTACCTGGACCTCTTATTTGAAGGGGACTGCAGTTTCCCAGCTGACAGACACACGGCCTATGCTCCTCTTTCAGTAAGCTTGGCTGTACTGTAGCTGGGAGGGTTTGACATGGTTTGGGTAGGCAGGGTGTCTGCAGTTCACGGATTCAAAAGGTAAAATTCTGTTAAAAAAGTGGCATTCTGCAGAAAACTTCTCTTAATCCTATATTTGATGAGAGGACTGTGAGTCCACCCAGCACCAATAAACCTACAGGCAGTATGGAAAAAAAAGAAAAAACCCCAGAACAAAAAATGAAATACGGAGAACCTTATGTAAAAACAAGGCCTAAAAAGTAAGACAGACTCCCCGTGGCAAACTTTCTCTCTTGCACTTAAAGACGCTGCCTATGAACAACTGCTGGAGCTGCGGTGACGGCATTCTGCCTTCATACATTAACGCCACTTGCCTGCTTCTCAAAGACCTGGACCCTCATGGTTCCAGCACCACATCCAGGCAGTTGGCACCCAAGCCTTTCCCCCAGCATCAAAAATGCACTGGTTACTGTTTTCAACTTGAGATGAAAAAAATGCTGAGAAACAGGTGAACTAAGGAAGTAGGTTCTGCATTTAGCGCTAAAAGCCAGGGGAGTTTGTGGTCACTCCTTTCCTGTGGTAAAATAAAGGCCAAAAGACCCACCCCTAACTTCACTGGACTCATGTTTTTATTGTAAATGAAGTTGTAGTAACGGGTGATGGCTGCAACTACTATTATTAATGCACTGGCAAAATTCTTGAAAGAAAGGAAGAATGAAGGCGTTGTGTGTTGGCAGCCTTGTGCTCAGCTTGTTGCTTGTGACTGTAGAGCAAAGAGGCTATTGGAGAGCATCTCCGAGAGATAATATCGTAGCTCATCACATTGAGAGCTGTGAAGTGATGACAGCCTGGGGTAGCTCCACAAAGTCTGACTTTTGTGGCTCAGGAGCGGGGCTGTCTTGCTTGCGAGAACTGTTCCTGCCAGATCCAAGCAGTGAATCTTTTCTGTCAACAGTCCCAAGTTTTCTTCCTCCCTGTTGATGTCATCCAAGAGCTATAGAAACGTCTTGCAGCAGCAATTTCAGGCTATTTCCACAAGTCCCCTCTTTGATCTCCAGTAGTGGTGAAGGTTAAGCAGTGACGCCCTTGTGCTGTAAGGTGATATACTCCCCATCCATCTCCTTCAGTGGCATCTGAGAAACATTTATGCTGTGTACACCAAAACTCATCTCAAGGAGCCAATTTAAAACTACAGGTGAATTGAATGTCTAGCAGAAAAACGGGGTGAGAACTCACCATGGCTGGTGAGTAACAACAAGATCTGCTACAGACTGCAGGAGGAGGTTGTTTCAATCACCTCACTTTGTTTAATCTATTTGGAAGAAGTTTTGGGATCTGTACACTTGAAAGGCATTACATGCAAACAATTGTTTCACATTATTGTGAAATCAATGTTCTTCACTTCTGCTATACCTACATATTCCACTCCTCTCCTGAACACTGCACTGGTTCCAGGGTCTCATGCTTACACATGCGGTTCCCTTTTGCCATCTTCTCTTCCTAGGGCATCAACAGTTTCATTCTATAATCCTCAAATGACTTGGAATATTGCATCTATTCATTCACTCTTGTAAAAATCAGAAGGTCTCTACTTCCTATTTTTAGTGCATAAGCTTAAATAGCACACTTACCAAAGCAGAATGTTTCTACTAGTGGTTACAAGATCTTGACTATTGTCTATGGACAACCTGACCCCAACATGAATGAAAATAAAAGCAAGGATCATGAGAAACAAACAGAAAGCAATGAAGACTCACCTGCCATGGTGACAGACCTTCCTACTGTACTTCCAGAAGCTTTATTTCTGACATATTCTTCATATAAAACACATTTTGAACAACAATTGGCAAGAAGGTGGCTGGGAGCACAAAAACACTGCTGGTAGATTTGGTAGGCTTCAGAGTGACCGAATGTTAATAAATGTTATTTTTCAGCAGTGACCTATTAGGGGGGCAGCTTTCTAGATGAGATTGAAAGACCTTCGTCCAAAAGCAATAAACTCTCAAGATGGAAGACGTAACAGATAATTAACATTTTAGAAGCACAAACAATTCTGTGGGTAACTCAGCTTTACTGACCTAGATTTCAATCCTGGATCTAATAAACCAGGATTTTTTACATCTGCCTACACATAGGTGCTTTGCACAGCAGAGGGGAGCAGACAAAATCTGGAGTGTAGGGAGCAGCAGCTGTACACACACAGGGGAAACATTTTTGACAGCACTCTAAGAGCATCACATAAGCAGAGCAGTACTTCTGCTCTGTGAATTTTCTTACCATCTTTGATTTCATCAGGGTCATAAGCCCCCTGCACTGTGCTCTCCCGTAGCCAAATTGGTCTCTCTCTGGCCAGCTTTCCTTCACTTGCAGACCGGTTAAGATCCTCCTGGTCCTCCATGCTGATGACAACGTTCTGGGTGTACAAGTCCTCATATGATGGTCCTTTTGTAGTCCATGCTTCCCGATGGTGTCCACCTGCAAGGCCAGCTGCTGTCCCTGAACCAGTACCAGCTGCACGCTCCTTGCTACATAAAAGTCAAAGAGAGAAAAAACAGAGCACTCAGGACAAGCCCTTCCTTGGCCAGCATTGCAACACTTAAACTATGATTAGTTATCTCCCATGATCTGCACTGAGAGCTTGCATTCTGATTTCTAACACGTGGTGCCAGGAATTTCTACACCAGCTTGCTGGTTTGGGGAACTTGGGGGTCTCTAATGGGAAACCCTACATGAGGCCATGGCAATTTCCACAACAGACACTGAAAAGAAGAGATGGCACTAAAGCTGCTGATGCACTCATGTGAAAACAAACAAAATCCCAGAATACCCTGAAATAAGTGTCACAGCAGCAAAACACAGTTGAACAGTAATCTGGTATTTGGAAAAGTCTCTTTTTGGCCTTTTCACAGCAACCCTATACTGTGTTAAAAAAAAGCACTAAAGTTTAAACAAGTCAGATGATGGGCCCAGAGTCCCAGCATGCTCAGATCTGTGAACCATTATTAATCACAGGACTCGTGAAGGAGTTAACTCACCATGAAAAACACAGTTCAAACCTTTGCTTGAATTGTGAGTGACAATGCCAGTGGTAAGTCACATCTCCTGTGTTACACAGGAGAGCCGTACTATCCACAGGCACAGCCTTGGGAGGACTGGGGAGTCCAGGCAGAAAAGAAGAAAAGACGAGAGGGCACCTTCAAACCAGAGGACTAGGGCTGGGCAAAGGGCTTTGTGTGGTGATGGTGTGTGGGAGGAGGCAAGACAGAACTGTCTTCATCGTGGAAAAGCTGGAGAAAGAAAGGCGATGACTGCTGTGAAGGGTACGGCAGTTTGTGGCTATCCCCCCCTGTTTTTGGGAGTCCAGGCAGAAAAGAAGAAAAGACGAGAGGGCACCTTCAAACCAGAGGACTAGGGCTGGGCAAAGGGCTTTGTGTGGTGATGGTGTGTGGGAGGAGGCAAGACAGAACTGTCTTCATCGTGGAAAAGCTGGAGAAAGAAAGGCGATGACTGCTGTGAAGGGTACGGCAGTTGAAGCCTAGCCCTCCCTTGTTTTCTAAGAGGAGCTGCAGCCAGCACATTTTCCTCCAGGCTCCGTTCTAGCTCAGGAGACTGATGGAGAAAAGAAACATTCCTGCTTGGATCCTTGGAAAGAGGACATCAGGTGGAGTATTTTCTGCATAGCAATGGCAATAAGCCTAAAATACTCTCTCTGGCCTGTGCTGCTACATATGCATTGATCAGGGAAAGCAGCTGAATGGAAACTCACTGCTGTCTGGGTGGGGAAAGCCAAACGCGACCGTTCCTCTACTTCAAAATCATATTTCATCTTCTCAGAGAAACAGATCCACTGCAGACTGTGCCCACCCTCAGCCATATAATTTCAGTCATCTGACTGCCAGTGGTACCTAAGGCTTTTCACAGGTAACAGACCTGCCAGGACTCCTCCTCTTGTCCAGAGCAAATCCATCCAGGATACTCACAGTGTTCCTGCTCTGCTGCCAGCTGAGTTGACAGAAGTTGTCAGTGAGCACGGTTCAGTCACTGCTATCTACCCAACGATCTTTCCTCCAACCGAGAAGCTTAAAATAAGGATGCAGCTGGAGAAGACCTGAGTAATATGCAATTTTTTAATTCAGCAAGGACTTAACCGCTGCTTGATGAGCTAATTCTGCTGGATTTTTAGGGGTAAACAGTGAGGGGAAAATACGCAGGTCGGTGATCATCTCTCTTTCCCAGATAAAAAATATTGGTGTGTTCAGCCGCATTGTGGATTAAGGGCTACTCACAGCCTCTCAATAGTGAGTTTACTGGGGTCTGTTAGCAAATACTTCACAGCATCCGTGTTAGCATGTGTCCACACACTAACCAGTTCTCTCCTGCAGCCAGCCCTGCTAGGAGAGCTTCACAGCAGCCTTGAATTTTGGGGCAGAAGACTCATGCACATGTATTGCTTATATAACCTAAGGAACCACACAGAGACCTTCTTCCCAATGTGTAATTTCAAGTGTTGGTACCTTTCAGCTCCTCAAGACAGGCGTGTGTTCTGTGAAAAGCACCACTCTGCTTCCCACACAACAGAAATCTAACTAGCGTTTCCCTGACGATTTTATGTAATCCACTTTCCTCACAAGATACACAATGCAGCTCTCCCCCAGGCTCTCCCTCCCCACGACTGCAGTGTGACAGCTAAATACTCGGTAGTGCCAGGAACTGCCTAATAATACTTTTGCACAGAGGTCCCCGTAAGTGTGCCTGAAATGGACTTTTTTTCCTACACGGTATCATTTAGCAGCAAAACACTTATTCCGTGACGTCAGGAACATTTCAAAAACACAAGTAACAACTCTAAGAGACACCTACAGTACTAATTAATTTAAGCCATCTACTGCAATGTCCCACACTTAGGTGGAACCATCTAGACACTTTCTGTCTACTTTCAGACCCTGGTGAGCTTTGAAAATGTGTCTCAATTTACTTCCTTGTTTGTGGAACTGCATCTTCAGCAACACTGTTGGTAGGAGTCAGCAGCCCCTCAAGACTACGTTAACAGGGGAATACTCCTTGCTGCCAGAAGAGATCTTCAGTGACCCTGTTCCAAAGTATAGGATTAAACACCATGGATCAGGCACCAGCAAAAGGCCAGATGTGCGAGTTGCCTTACAGGCAGCACAGAGCAGATGAAGGGAGCACGCTCTTAAATCTCTCTCTCTCTCTTAGATCCAAGATCTGCTTTTTCCTCACCTAGGTCTAGACTTTGCACGGCCATCCTGCAGCCAGGAACTGTGGCAGTTCAGTGGCCCAGATGTGGCTACATTTGCTCTGTTACCCATCGGTTGTTTTACCCTGGTGGAAATCCCTTAATGAGTGGTTAGCTGCCTTTAAAGGCAACATAAATAAACCTTGACATAGCTGAGGTATAGCCCACAGAAACCATACTATGCAATGTGGAAACAACTTGAAATTTCCATCTCAATCCTGCCCAGACTATTAAGAAAAGGTCTTGCATAAAGGGGATAACTCTTTGTGCCGTGTTTGAAATAAAGCACTTTTTCACTTAGCTGCTCTTAAGAGCTTCAACTTCACAACAGACAACCCATGGTCCTTGATAGCATGACCACAGAAAATTAATTCTGTGAAGATTTTTGTTATATAAAATCATGCAATTCTGACATAAGAAAATGGAGGGGATATTAAAATCCATCTGTTTTAGAAAAGCACAGAGAAGGGCTTAGGTAAAGCAGGTTTATTTTGAAACCTGTGGGGCTAACTCATGCTTTGCCAAGATTAAGAAAATTAATGGCCTCCTAGAAAGATATAAACGAAGATCTGCCCAGTTTCCCACGGCAGGTGAATGACAGTTATGCAATGTCAGTGTGGTCGCTTAGAGCTGTAACTCTCCTGAAAAGACATGAAGTTGCCTGCATTGGTGCAAAGAGACAATGAGGCACTTCGTGACCTATTCTGTTTGTTTCAGAATCACCAAATGTCAGTTTTGTCAATGATTTCAGTCACTCAAGACTCCATAAAAACAGAGGGAATAAATAACCCAGGGTTTGACACTTAAAAAAAAAAAAATCTCACAGCAGCGCTTTCATTCAATTAACTGCTTTGAATTAATAAGAGTTAATAAATAATTAAATCATTGTATGTGCTGAAGCAAGTTGTGTTCAAGTAAGCATTTAAAAAGCCGCCTATTTATTTTGTCATTCCTTGTACAAAGTAATTAATCATTTACAATGTTTTTTAAGTATTTAAGAGTCAAGTAAGTGGGTGCTGCTATTTAATCATGGGACTGCACCAGGCTTCTGCTGTGATAATTTCCTGTGCACAGAAGGGGAAGACTGAGAAATGACTCTCTTTTTGGTGGGGTTATCCCAGTTCTACTACTCAAACTACAGAAAAGGGTTTTTAAAGCAAAGGCTAGTGATTCAGCTTGGGCATACAGGCTTCAAAGACTCCCCATATCACCAAAGACATGTTGAGTGACCTTGGAAAAATCTCTTCCCCTCTCTATATTGCTTCTGTTTTTCTACCAGAATGATGAGGAAAATTAGCTACTTTCTTGGCTAGAAAAAGACTATGAACAGACAAAGAATTTTTCATTATATTAATTAGAAACTGTCCAGCATGAATATATGAGGAACATTCTCTCTCAAGGTTAGCCTGAGAGAAAAAAAGAGTATCCTGCTTGCTCTCCCATTAACTAAAGCCCAGCACCCCAAAGCACTGTGGGAATGCTTCCCCCTGTGGTACATTTTGCTCCCCCCCATGTGTTTAATTAATTTTTTTTAAACACAGAGAAGTGCATCATATTTCACCACAGCTGACAAAACTGACAGCTCCCCACATCTTTCTGCATTATTTAAACATCATCTGTTTTTGTACAGCTAGGAATGTTCTGAAAGAAAGTGTCATTTCCCATGGGTAGGAACATTTTTAAAGAGTTTTTGACTATAACATGGCCTCCTCCCGAAAAGAAGAGGTGTGTAACAAGTAGGAGAAAATCAGAAGAAAAAAATACCCTTATTACAAGTAATGCCTTCGAACTAGAATGCAAAGCGTAGAATGCAGATAGCTTAGTTTCAAAAGCTGGGTAGAAGCAAAAGGAACAGATGAAAGACAAGGGTTTGAGAGAAAGACAACAGTGTAGAGTAGATGGCACCTTCAGAGCTTTGCCAAATGGCTGCAGTTTGCATTTCTTAAATACTGGGGCAAGGGCTTGGTAAATATACCAGCTGCAGCACAGCAAGCAGCAGGTAATTCGAGTACCCCACCCCACAGAAAACGACATGCAGGAGGCTGACCAGAAGAATAGTCATCTGCCTTGTTTAGTAAAAAATGGTTACGGCCCTTTGTCTCCTTATAAACCGCACATTCCTTGGGGAATCTGTCAGTTGCTTGCACAGTTGGTGCTGAACAAGTAAGTCCTCAATGCAGCCAGAGGCTGCACAAGGTTTGGGAAAGCCTCACAGAGCAGACGAACGCACTACAAGGAAGCAGCGCCGTGAGAAAAGACCAGGCGCATTCCCACCTCTGCTTCAGGGCAGGAATCTCTGTGGGTTCTGGCTCGAGGATTTCATAGGCTAAGTTAATGTCTTCCGTCTCACGAAGCAGCGCATAGATGGGCTCAATCTGCTCATTAAATCTTGCCACGAGTGTCCTTGCATCCTTTTTGGGCATCGCCGACTCATCTTCTTCCACTTCAGTCTCACAGAAAGTACAGCGGAAAGTTCCTAAAATGAAAAAAGCTGCTAAGCATTGGAAGGAAAGCAACAGGCCTGGCTCTTTATACAGCCTTTTAAACAGCACTCCTTTGCTGTTTTCTTAGCTTGATGCTAAATAGCTTTTCTCCCCCTGACAATCCCTTCCCACACACAGCGTACCTGGTTATTATTTAAGCAGACAACAAAGCAAACATTTTGATGCCATCCAGTGATACCCAGTTGGGTACAGTTTCTCGCTCTGAAAAGCCCAGATGGGCTGGAGTACCTCTACTGAGACACCTCCTAATCTCACTCCCTCTTTCTTGCTTCACATTTTAAATGTCAGCTGCGACTGGGCTGTGATAAAAAGCTTCACAATACTCTCAGGAGTTCAAATATCGTCTGTTTCAGGTGCTTGCACTGGTGTCTCCCAGGCCACGTGAACTGGCTAATTTCACAATGAAGTAGGGTGTAGTTTTACACTGCACCAACCACTCTGCAGTAACTGCTAGTATAACCATTTTCACTCTGCAACTGATGCAAAAAAGATGGCTGCTCCTTCTGTTCCAGGGCCAAAACATGCAAAATGGTCATTACTGCAGAGCAGCAAATGCAAAAATTTATCCCACCTAACCCCCATATTAACTTCTTGAAATTAAGAATGGCAAGACAAGAATTGTATGAATGGCAATTAAGAATAAGCTCGTTTTACAGACCTCATCAGGATTTATAAAAACAGGTCAAACATAAAGGCAACTGAAATGGTTGCATGGCAATGCAGTTACAAAAAACCTACTGAACTCCTGCACAGCAGGCTTTTCAGTTTCATCTGTGAGTAGGACCCTTAGGGCAGTGCATGCACAGTAGGACCTTACCATATGGTCCACTACGAGGAGAGCAGCACAGTGTAATGACTTATCCTTGCAAGTACTGGGCTGAGAACGTACCTCTGCCTCCTCAGAACGCTTATATCCAGAGCAATGCTCACAGGCTTCTCGATTTCTCTTGTCCCTGTGTGATTTTTTAATTTATCTGTTCTGTGACACCTATACACATCTAGCATCATCTCTCAATACCCCAATGAAGAAAGGAAAAGATCTTTTTACTAATAGGGAGCCTGAGGATAGGTCATATCAGGGAAATGATAAGCTTATGTTTAAAAATCAGTATTAGAATCAGCATTGAAGCCTGCTGTATCACCAATGCTATGTACAAACACAGTCGAAAGAATGGGGTTTGCCCAGGGCACACGGGCATGATGTAGTGAGACAGGCTGGCAAGCCAGGGCTTCTGGTATCTTGTTTTGCTGCTTACACAGATTTGCCAGTCTTGTCACTTCATTTTTCAGTGTACCTCTTTCTCTGCCTGTAAGACAGCGATAAAAACAGACCTAACTTCTTCACTGATGGCTGTGAGGGCTAGACAATGCTTGCACACTTCTTGGAAAACACACAAAAGCACTGTTTATGACAGGAGGTAGATCTGTTGCCTCTCACCACAGTCTGTAGAGATGCAGTTTGCTACCTCGGCACCATCTGAAGTAGCTTTTGCTCATCATTACTCATAAATTAATGCGACTGTGTTGTATACGTGGCCTGTAATACATACACATTTCCTGCAATAAACTCTCTCTTTAGAAAGTTTGTCTTATCTACACGTAAAAGCTAGAGCACCCAAGAACAGTGGTATGCAAAGTAAAGGATAAGTGGATAAAGTGCTCTTCTCTCCCATCCAAGCATGAAACACTCTGCTTATTTTTTCAGGCTGTAAAAATTGCCCCTATTGATTCAAAAATTGTACATTATATAAGCTGTCAGCCCGGCAAAAATTGAAGCCAAAGTTTGGTCTCCTTATCCCACATCTGAGGCTATCGGCATGACAAATTGGCAACCAACTTGAATCAATTTAAAATAATTAGCACATCTCAGTTCCCATAATGGACTTAGTGAACAAACACAGGTTAATGAGGAAAACTCCTCTTTTTACATCCCCCCCAAAAGTCCTGTTACATGTTCCTAAGACAGCTCAGACTTTTCACGCTTCCATCTGTGAACCCCATGAGTATCTGCAAAAGATTAAGATCGTAGGGAGAATGGTTCCAATTCAGAGTATCAAAAAATCAGAAAGTAAATACAGCTCTAATGAAACGGAACTCCTAAAGCTATCATGGATTTGCTGCAACTTCCACCCCTCAGGGTTCTTAATTAATCTATTAACTTTTTTTTTACTTATTACGTAAAGAATCTGGGAATGAGTGAAATGACAAGCTTCCTCCATTAATATGCTGATTTTTTTCGAGGTGATGCAGCATTTCACAAGAGGCATATGTGATTAGAGAACTGGGAAGTTGCTTTGCCATGACAGATGGCATTTATATGTTGCAAACCTCTTCTGTTAGACTTTAAGAGGTCACAAAATGTCACCAGAGCTTTTATAACATGGCACATCCCATCAGCAGTAGCACATGTTCCTTGCAGATATGAATTGCATGTGACAAACATGAAGGAGAAGTCATCCAAAGGCTAAGAATGGCCATGTTCCCACTCCGACAATGTATTTCTTCCTTCAGCCCTTACACAACTGATAGTTTTCCATTCAAATATGCTGCATAAACCAGGACAAGTAGATATCCTGGAGCAAACAGACATGAGGCTTTCCTGCATCTTGGAAATGCTAATGGAGAGCACATACATCCCTGTCTTTCCGCACATGCTCAGGCACTCAACAGACCTCTCTGGCTGCACGCTGAAAACCAGCCATCTGAAAGAGATCTCCTCATCTGCTCCCAGACTCTCCAGGGCAGATATGCTGGTAATCTGGCTCCCCAAGGCATACTAAGATTAAAGCAGCTCAAGCTCTGAAGTATAGGGCCAGAGTATTTAGAGATAATTCTTAATGACTTGATTTCACTTGAAAGAAGGAAAAGGTCAACTGCCCACATGCATTGCATGCACGATGTCCAAGCGTGCATGCTACATCTGCTATAATGAACACATTTAACTGGCTACAGCCTCCTCAGTCTGAGCCCAGGTCCTGCTTACACCCTTCTCAAAGGGTTCAAGCCTCATCTCCAGCCTGACAAGGTGTCTTCCTTCCACTCTGTCCTTTGGGATACTGCCCCAGACTCTCACTACTCTGACACTTACAAACTATTTAATTTTCAACCTAAACTTATTCCCATTCATTTCAAAACTATTTACGGTTGTACCAAAACCTGTACCTCAGCTCAGCTAGCTTCCATCTTGCTGTTAATCCTTCAGGCATATTTACAAACTGCTGTCTTATTCATACCTCCCATCTTCATTTTGCAAGGCTCAATAAGCCACACATTTTTCTTTGCCTTTTAAAACTGGACACCCATTCCTTCGACCATGCTGTCAGCCTCCTTGAGCACTTTCTCCAGTTTGCTCTCATCTTTCTGCTGTGAAGCTGGAAGTATATACAAGCGTCCAGATGAGTCTTCCCAAAAGCCCAACGGCATTAGTGCTTCTCTGATAGCCATTGAGACCTTTTAAGATCACAGTGTAACGGATCATGAAAGTGCTGCCTCAATTATCACAAGATCTAGCAATGCTCCCAGACCTTTCCGCCTCCTTTGTAGTTTCCAGTTGATGAGCTCCACATTTATAGGAGACATTTGCATTAGATGCTAGGTGCATGACACCGTACATTATACTATAATCTTTCAGCTCCTTTTTATTCTTCCACCTTCATCCTCATCCAATTCTTTATTCTTGACTGCATCACAAAACATTAAACTAATTTATTTTCAAAATCTCCCACAACCTTCTTTTAGAAGTAGCATTATTACCGTTACATGGAGAGTGAGCTAAGGCACAGATGGCACAATTTCAGAAGTATCTGCTGATTTGAGCAGTACTTGATTCGACATGCCTAAGAAATGCTTTTCGGAAACTTCTGTTTCAGCAAAGAGCATGCAGTATTTTTATGAATCTTCTTCCAGGCTCTAGAATCAGGCATCTCAAACGAGTTAGGTACAACAGCTAATGATAGCCTTTGAAAAGTTTAGCTCAAAATGACTAGTCCAACAACGCACAGAAACTCAGCCGGCCTGGAGGATCAGATCATGTTCCTGTGGCTACTACAGCCATTTTCTTCAAGTAATTCCCTGACTCTCACACTGCACGTTTTTCCTTCTTCTGCAGCAAGCCACACGGAAAGTGCTTTATAAGCGCACAGCTCAGCTGTCTCACAGAGCAAAGCACATGTTTTGTGGGGGAAAAAAAATTATGTCACAGAGAAAAAGTTACAGGATGCATAAGCAACTTTAATTTCAGCACTCTCTAACCCTGAATGCTTCATTTGATGTTAAAAAGAGAGTATTAAGACCCTGAGGAAAGGACAGGAGTTTCCTAGGTTCCTACCAACAGGAAGCCAGACAAATGTCTCCCGCTGTGTGATGTTGTGCCGACAGCCATATGGTTAATCTGCAGACCTGGAGCCCTCAGTTCCGCACAGGCCTCCGCCATTTGACTGAATGAAATAACATGGAAGATGACAACCTGCTAGTGCTGCGTGGATCAGCTGCAGTGGGAGCAGGATGCCTTGCCAGCTTCCTTCCTGGCAACAAAGGGAGGATGAGAAGGAAACACCTCAGGGTCCTGCTCTAGCTTCTCGGAAGAGATGTGCTTTGTGGGAATCTGCTATCCTACCTGCTAGCCCCGAGCCTGAGGTTTCCTACCCAGCTCTTCCCAACTGCTCCCACCCCAGTTCCTGGCTTTTCCCCACTCTGATGGTCCTGTTCTCCTTGCTAGCAAGTCCTGGTCTATCTAGTCCTGCTTTCTCAGCCTGGGCTTCTCTCACTTCTCAGACTTCCCTGTCCATCTGACATGTCCATCCTGTCCACTCCTGAGTTGCTTTTTCCAATCTCAGCCTCTCCCCACTCCCACGCCTCTCTGCCCCACGCTCTTTGACCAGTTAATTCTGCTTCTTAATTTGAGCCCTGGTCATCAGATTAATTTCCTGTTTCAAGCCAGAGAGGTGGAAGATCTTTTCACAGCATAACCTGTCATTCAGAACAATGTAACACAAGCAAAGGAATATGCACTTCTCCAGTCTCCTCTTCCATTTCCTCATCAGCCCATTCTTCAAAATGGCCAAACTGTTTTTCGATTACATTTTCCTAAGCAAATTAAACTTAGTTGGATGCACAGAATGGGAAAAACTCAGCATAAAGTGTCTGACAAAGTTTTGAACCGAACAAAAAACACAGAGCAATTCCTACGCCCGCCCTCCACAAACGATCCAAGCTCATGTAATGGAAATACTTAGCAACCTAAGTAATAGGCAGTGCTGTCAGTACAAGTTATAATTAACTTCCTTTCATTTCTTATTGATTTTCAAGATTTAGAGGACTGTTTACAACAGCACCTAAAGGCATTTCTCTCCTGAATCATTAAAGACAAAAATAGTAGGCCGAGTGGCTACAACAGACCTGGATCATTAGTTACCATAACATACTCCACATTAGGATATAAGGATACTCACCTACTAGAAGTAGCAACTTGAGGGGTTAAATTGAAGCAAAGAGAGTTTTAATGACCTTAATGGACCAAGCTAGTAACCGAGCTAATTGTTAAAACAGTTGATTGTTAACTGGATTAATGATAACGCAGATTAGACTGTAGGAGCTGTTGATCTTTAGTGATTCCCAGACTTAAACAGACTTCTCAGCCCTCATTAAACTGCCCTTATCATCTCAATGAGAAAGCAACCTAGTGTGTCTGAGTGGGAAACGCGCTCCTGCCCCAAGGAAAGATGAGTCTCCTTTCGATTTTATTGGGTAGCCTTCCCTGCCCCATCTCTCTTTTCTCCCCATATTGGAGACCTATAGTCCCAAGTACATTTGTATTCACATTTGACTTCCAAAACCCCAGTTGTTTTAGGCAAAAAATAGAGAAACCCACTGATAAAATCTGTCTCCTGAACACCACAGCAATACCATTCTCTCTTGCAAGTAATTCAGTGTTTCTACAGATGCATTAAAAGAGCCAATTACAGAGCACAGTGTATTACATAAAATGTAATGCCACATCTCATCTTTCTAAGACAGGTTTCATGGTCCACTGGATCTCAAGCTCTTGAGGACACTCCACAGCCCAGGGCTGACTGCAGTACTCTATCTTGAAACGTGACAGAGAAAGTGTATGTTTTTATATTAGTCCTGTTTGGGATAGTCCAGAGCAGACGCTGTTGTCAGAGCTGCTTACGGCACAAGAACAAACACTGGACCATGTGTAGGAAACGTCAGCATTTTGGGAAGATCTGCTAACCCCACTTCTGGAATAAAACATCCAGCTTTGCCATTGAAACCCAAAAAGCGTCAGGCTTCATCCCAACAGTCTGAAAAGGCTCACTTTAAAATTTCTAACTATAGAGAAGATAAGGTATATTGCAACTGAGATGCGTAACATTGGGCAGAGACGGTGACGGAGCAAATCCGGAACATGCGGGTGATATCTGAAAGGAGAGAACTGAACAGTACACAGGACGACGCTGCCCAGAGGAGATGGTCAGCGCAGTGGCTGTAGTTCGAAGCCAAGTATGCAGCACCCCTACAAACAGCACTGCAACCAAATCGTGACACTCGCCAGATGAGGCCTGAGCGGACATGAACGTGGACTGCTAAATCCAGCATCCTGCCCCCAGAACTGACAGCTCTCTTCTTAACAGGCTAAGAAAGTACAGCATCTCCTCTATCCCTCTCTGCCTTTCCTGAAGAGGTACTACCAGGTACACACAATTAGGATTATGGGCATGAAGGATAGCAATAACCAATACTAAAGGCTGCCTGACACATCCTATTATCAGATCCTAGACTGCAATTTGCTAAAACATCTTTTATATCACAATTCTGCCTCAGATGACTGAGGAAGCGTGTGGAGTGCGCGTTTATAAAATGTCAAGCACAGCAGTTCAGCTAGAAATGGCGCTAGGAACAAATAATGTAACTAATACTGTTATCTGAAGAGAGATTTTAATCTCTTTATGAATTTTTCTATGGTATCTGAATTCCTAAGAAAGTTGTTTTATCTACAGTTTACAAATGAGATCGAGAACCTAAAATGAAGGAAAAAAAAAATTCCTTTTAACTTTATATGCCCCAAATCTAGACCCAGTTTCTCCTAGGTACATATATATTCTAGTACAAACCCTACTGAGTCAACAGCTATGAGATCAATACTTCTCAGTATCAGACCATAAGGTTTTAAGACAGTTTTCTGTGAATTAGAGAACAAGCACGGATCATTCACCTGCAAACAGCTTGTTTTCACTGACTTCAACGTCATATGGGACTCTACAGTGGAGGCAGGAGGATAAAATAGAGTTCAGCAGCAGCATTCAACTGCCTAGCCCACACATACGGCATGTTTGGGAAGGAGTCTTATATACTTCTTACCCTCCAAATCAGCCTTCAAAAATGGTTTATTTTATGAATTCAGTAAGTGCAAAAAACAGCATTTGATCATACAGCTCAACAGCAATTCATAATATATGCACACCAAGATATAGCTCTGACTTTTGAGTACCTGATTTAGAGCCTTAACAATGCTTCTTAAACATTTTTCTTGTTTAATACAGATTCAGAGTATTGAATTGCCCACCAGGTATTAAACAGAGAGTAAACATTTTATTTGGGATTAACGTCAATCAGTTTTCTTTGCAAAGCTTCTATTATTGTAATATAGATGTAGCAGACACAGCATTTAAGGGCACTTATGCAGTAGCACTATTTCTGATTCAGATGAGGTAATTCTGCCAGAAGTGTGTTCAGGAGGGTTCAAAACTGCAACTGCCAACATATGAAAAAAGATCAAAACAATCAACGACAAAAATAAAAACAAGATGGCAACTTATAATAAAAAAAGAGATAAAGGCATACTCCTAAACACACAGCATGATTAGCAAAAGGTGAAAGAAATATATTTTATAATTGCCATTAACCACTGTCTCACTAAAATCAAAAGGAAATTTCACTTAGCCAGTGCATATGTTCATGTATTATTTATTCTCCCTGAGAGCAGTGTGTAAAATGTATAAAAATTTGAGGGACTGTCAGTCCTGGAAACAGAAGGTCGCTCTGTTAAGCTGCAGAGCGGATTTTACTCAGGCAGTTACATTATCCTAGACATAATTTGGAAAAATGGTGGTTCTGGAATGTTATTACAGATGGCCAAGAATAGTGTCCAGCACTTGTTCTGGACCCTCTCGGCACAAAATGAACCCTGCTATTAACAATAAAAGTAGGAACTGCTAAGATAAGACACCCTCGGCAACACCTTCGAATATATAAGGACAGCGTTTTTCTTCCCTGAAAATCTCAAGCATTTAGGGACAGGGAAACAGAAGTAGGAAAACATTCAGAGAGTCGCTCCAGATCCCCTGTTTCAGGCAATGGCAAACATTAAAGACTTCCCATGCCTGAGATCTATTTGTTAAACCACACCAGCACTTCTGATTTTCTGGAAGAGATCTATCCTT